GCACGACGAGAAGAAGGGGCACGGAAGGAGTAGGATGGTGAGTTTGTGCCCTGGAGATGCTGCCATCAGGGACGTTATGGAACAAATTCCTTGCTCAGATAAAGCCTTCCTGGCACAGGAATAACTGCCTCGCTCCTTTGTGTACCAGAACAAAGCACCATCTCCAGACATTTATCGACCTTTCCGTCTGCCTGGCTCGGAAGTCGGAGTGAAGTGACGCGCCAGCTCTTCTAATTTAACTCCCAGGTACCAGGAACACGGGCCCTCCAAACCAGAGGCTTTTTCCAGTGCTCAGTCCCTCACTAATGAGACACTGAACTGTCACATGGAAAATACTGAAGAGCCATTTGAAACCCACAAAACACAGGCAAACCAGTGATTCAAAGGCACCACCGGAAAGGCCAGGAGAGCCCACGGCCAGGGTGTCCCCCGGGGAGGGTGAGCCATCAGATCCACCACAGAGAGGGACATCTGGTGTGATTCAGCAGTCCCTGAGGTTTGCTGTCCCATACCCGGTTCCCTGCACTGCTGGGATTGCTCCAGGGCTCCAAGGGCAAGTGAGGGAGAAGCGTTTCACTGAGAAGCAGCAGCAAAAAGGGCCAACACATGTGGACAGCGGTCACCCCACAGATTGAAAGCAATGCTGACAACACACCCCAAGCGAGTGAGGATGTTCTGTGGACTCCCACAGACCCCTAGAAAGGAGGGAGGCAGCCCCAGCCAGTTCTCAGGCCCACTGACCATGCTAATACTGCACACGTGCTGTCTGTGTAGCACTGGATCCACTCACACTCAGCATGAGATGCCATGGGGATGGTTTACTTAAGAGTGAGAGCACCTCTCCACAGCCAAGGATCTCCTGCGAATGCATCAGCAGGGAGGAACTGCCAGCTTCAACTCCCTCCTTGTTTACAGAAACAGATGTAGAGGATCCTCAAGAAATGCTTCACCACAGACAGACGGGGGAGGAACAACACCACGCTGTTTTTCCAGGGCAGGATGTTGCTGCAGAACCACCTAAAAAGCCAGGGCTTGATCCGACTGGTATTTCAGCCACCAGTGAAGCCTCCCAACCCAGACGCCTTGATCTACCTCCAGCTGAGAGTATAAATATTTCCCTGACAGCTGGTGGTGCCACACAGCAGAAGGATTCATAAAGTTTACATGAACATCCTGTAAACAATTTGAACATAAAAAGCTCTAACAGCCCAATTGTGTTTCTGATCAAAGGCAAACTTCAATATACAGCACAAACGAAAACTTCACCACTTTGGGACTCATTTTTCCCTCCAGGAAAAGCTGTTTTCCAAGGGTACGTAGGAGGGAGTTAACATAAATGAACTACACAGTGGTAGAATGAGCTGCCTGCTCTGCAGCTTCAGATGTGTCTATTTAAATTATTAAGAGATAATGGAATTTAATTACACCGAGAAGTCACATTACAAAAATTCCTGAACAAAGCCTGTACTTTGGCCGGGATTGATGGTGCTGAGGTGACACTCTCAGAGGGTAAAGAGCAGTTCTGTTCCTTCAGAGACACACAGAGCATAAGCAGCAATCCCAAACTGGAAGGGTCGAGCCGCAGGAAGGGAGGGAGGGAGCTGCAGGCGGGGGATGCACTTCTCTGCCAGCCCTTCTCCAACTCATTCATTCAGATGTTGACAGCTCCTTTGTCAAGCATTACCATGGGCCCAGACCCTTGGGTGCTCACCTCCCAGCACAGCCACCTGGATTCCCATGGGAACCATCTCCCTGGATAATTTAAGCATCACAAGGTGAAGTGTTCCCTGCAGAGCGATTGGAGTGCAGGGCTCTGATTCACAACCAGGGACAACTCATTGCAGTGGCAGCTGCAGCAATTCCTGCTCTGGGGAGCAAACCACATCCCTCCCAAATTCCCAGCCTGCTGCAGACAGGGCACAGAGCTGGGACCTCTGGGAGCAGTGGCAGCACAAGAGCTGAGGTAGGAACCCCACAGCCCTTTCCATCACTCGGCTCTGACACGTGTCCCAGCCCTGAGGGGCCCCAACATCCACCTTCTGCTCCCCCAAAGCTCACAGGACCCTTCCAGATTCAGGGATGCATCTTCCCATTCAGCTCCAAGGGCACTAACTCCTAAATGGGAGCTGAGAGACTTCTCCTTAAGGGGTTTTACCAGCTCCTCAAGGGAGGTTTTGGGGTGATTTCATTTTGCTCTAGATTTCTTTAATTCTCAGTGTTTCTGAGGAAGGGACTGTCCCTTACACATCCACACTAATCCATCACTCCTCGAGCTCATCTTCAGCCTTGAAGTTCACAGCTAAATGACAGAAAGGGGACAAAATGTGTATACAAGACCTGAAATGCTTCAGGATTTCTACCTGCTCCATAAAAATTTACACACTTACTTGTGTAAATTCTGCTACCTCAGTTGTAAATAATCCTGGGGGGCGGAAATAAGTGGCAAGACAAAAAAAACCAAACTGTGTGAGCCGTGGGTGGCTGCGGACACTGCCAGCCTGCCCAGCCTGCCCTGCCCTCCCAGCCTGGCAGCTCTGAAGGTTCCATCGTGATTTACCCAATGCAAATCTGACCTTTCTGACGAGTGACTTTTATTGCTTTTGGCAAAAGCGGCCGTGGACAACACAGTGGGGAAGAACTGGCTCGGAAGCAAAACAGACTGAACTGCAGAAAGGGAACTTGAACTTGGAATTTATCAAACTGACAGCCCCCGGGCAGCCACAGCATCCCCAGGGCACACACTTGGAGAAGGCAACAGCCTCCCCACCATGGTGAGAGCCCTGCACCTGCCTGCCAGCAATTACTGACATTATCTCCAAACAGGGGAGCTTTTCTGAGGCTCTTTTTCCTGATATTTAGTAGTTTGAATGCTAATCCCTTTGACAAAACTGTCCCCCATGCTTTTTCTGTCCTCCTTCCCCTTAATCTCTTTCTCCCAGTGGAAAAAAGAAAAAAAAAAAGGGGGGGAGGAAAAAAAAAAAAAAAAAAAAAATACCAGCCAGCCTAGTTTGGCCGCACCTGGATTTGCATTGATTCCTCCCTTGTCATTCATGTTCCCAACAGGAATTAGCATATGGCTTTAAGGGGAAACTCAGGAGGAGAAAAGAAAGATGCCATTTTGATGGAAATAAGGGGCAAAGGAATAATCTACCATCAACTAAAAAGCTTATTTGTGTACGGTTTCCCAAGCAAAGCTTCGAAAAGCCCATGTTGATTTTAGGCTACACAAAGAAACCCTAATCCTTTCAAGGGAACTAAATCACCAAAGAAAAGTACCTTGGAAGAAAAGGCTCCCTGTCAAGCACGGGTATTCACATCCAAAGGGATGCCACGAACCAAGCTCCGTAAGTAAACAGAAATAAGAATGTGGGAAATGTGTTTGAGTCAAAAAAAGAAAACCAAAGGAAGAGGAAGAGGGGCCTACTCTTCATCAGCCACCTCCTGGGGAGGAGAGGAGCCCCTCACCCTGGTTACAGGCCTGTGCCAGGAATGTGGATTCACCGCCCTCCTCGGCTTCTCCTGCCCTGGCCCAACCCCAAGAAAGGGCTGCTCAAATGCCAAAGCTTTTTACAGCAAATTAGCAATATAAAGATGCAGTCACATGTAGTTTGGGGGCCTGGGGTCACTCCAGACACGCAGTTCTTCCCTTCTAATGGCTGTGCCACCTATTCTCCGCCTCCGGAGGGGCCGGGAACCACAAATGCCATTAATCACAAAGGACAGATAGGCTTGCCAAGTGAGATAACCTCGTTAGACCAAAGAAATAATCCAGACTGTACTTCCAAAGGATGCTAATACATGAAAAACAGGACTATGGATCCGTAATGCAATTAAATCCAGGTATAATTCAATATGCAGCAGAAGACTTCAGAGGCAGCAGCGGATCAGCATGGGAATCCCAAAGGTAACGGGGTCATGTTCTGTCCCCAGTTAAACCACTGCAGCTTCGTGGAATTAAAAGACACAGAAGAACACCAGAATGACCCACTGGAATAACAAACCAAACCCAGGGAGAAGCACACAGGGCAAATACCGAGCAAATCCACACCTGGCCAACAAAACAGATCTGAATTTCAAACCGATCAAACCTCTTCTAATGCAAACCGACTCCAAAATTCCAAACCTCCAGCCAGTCAAAATCCCGGGTTTACAGCTGGAAGCTCAGCCCCTACTGAGTCCATTGAGAGGCAGGACAGAGGGGTAAAAACCTGGGGCATTTTCCAGGCCTTGAATTACACTCGTTTGCACAACTCCTGCCTGGAGCTGCTCCCACCACCCTCCTTGCAAAAACACCAACCAAACTGAAAATAAGAATTAAAAGCAAAGGATCCCCCCAAAGCCTTTCCAATAACGCTGCTCCAGGCCCAGCCCTGCAGGGCAGCTCACTGGTGTGCTGATTTAGGGCGAGTTTTCCCTTAATGTACTGTTATATCATTAGCCACTCTCTCTTTGGATTGCTGTTTGGAAGAAATTAATGGGATACTGAATATTTAAATGTGGCCCTCTATATCATTTATTAACTGTACAGAAAGCACACAGCACAGTAAGCCATGGTTTATGACTATTATCCTGTGAATACTAAACGTTGGCTGGTTATTACTGTCAGCAGTGCAAATTGGCTATTCATAATTCCACGTCTATCATGGAGCTGATGAGTAACAATCAAGTTAAAACATTTTGAAAACTCTTACAGTTATTTAAATGAGCTTAAATTAAAGCCATTTGTAAAATAAACTATTCCCTAATATTGTTATTTAAATTAATTCTGACCTGGCAGGCAATGCATTATTTAAAGCCTATATTTTATATTAAGCAAAGCAATTACCAAGCATACAGAACACGTCTGAAACCCAGAGAAACATAAAAAGCACTAACAAGCTGATTGCGACATTTCTGCAAGACAAGTTACATTTCATCTCCCATTGAAATTGCCATGAAAAGAAACGTGTGGGGAAAGAAAAAAAAAAAAAATCTGTTTGGGATGTGAATTGGAGCCTTACCTTTATTTGTGACAGCGTTGAACAGTTTCTCAGAGCTGGCATCAGATGCCTGAAAGACCAATAAAAATAAAAATAAAAAAAACAACAGAGTTACATTTTGTAGCAGTGATAGATTTCCAGAGGCACGGCGGTGTATTTATACACAGGCAGAGGAATGTATATTTTAGGGAAACAAATCAGGAGACAAAACCAGGGGCGCTGGAAGCGGCGGCTCCGGGGCCGTGTCCATGAGGTGGTGCTGTTTGGCTGTGCTTCGCCGCCCTGCAGTGCAGAGATTTCCTTGGAAAGATTCTGTTTCAGAAAGAAACGGGGTTTTTCTCCAACATTAGCTGCACGGAAACTGGACCTTTGTGCTGCCGTTATCCGATACGTTCCGACATTGATTTTGCCATGGAGGAGAGTCACCATTCGGAAACACACAGCCCAGGTTCGGGAATTTCCAGAACTGCAGATTTCAAAATTAATTTTTTAAAGTGTTTTTGGGATCCCTAACTGTGGCAACATTCGATTTTTACCCCCTTCAAAGCAGTGCTGATAACTTAAGTTAGTCATTTCATAAACTGCTGCTACCAACTCTCTGAAAAACAAACAGCACGTTCGTATTTAGGATCAGAATTTCTACGTCGGATTCACCTTCCTCTGAATAACCGATTCTTCACGCCAAGCTCTGTGCCAGCTAATAAACCTTTTCTTTTTCATCAAGACACCTTTATCCAGGGAGGCTTTTCCTCCTAATTTTACCCCCTCTACTCCTGCTGTTCGTGTGCCAATTCAGCTCTTTACCTGCTGTAAAAAGCCCGACTTGGGTTTCACATAAAAACGTTGAAACTCAAACAGCACAAAACCAGCCGGGGAAGGTAACAGTGAAAATGCTCGTTTTACAAACGCCCTGAACCCAAAAGCACAAACCCCTAAGCTTCTGCAGCTATGTTTGGGCACACACACACACAGCACACACGTATATCCAGCTACAGCCTAAACTTCTCCCACCTCTGCACCCACAAATGCTCTTTGATTCAGAACTGGAGCTTGGATCCAGCCCCGTGAGAGACAGGCTGCTTTTGGAAAACACATGGCAAATGTGCTCAGGAACAAAATACTGCAAAACCAGGGTTAAAACACAACACCCGAGAAAGATTTTAGTTTTCTTCCTAGAAACTGTTTTCTTGCTGGACTCAGGAAAAATAATTAAAAACACTGCTTGGAAAGCAGGCTGTGGGGTTTTTTTATTAAAGGGAAGGAATTTCTCAATTCAGAACCAAATAAAAACCATCAGACAAGCAACATATACGTTCACTATCTCGACTGCACTAAAAAACTTCACTGTGAAACTCCCGGTAAATAAGTAGACACGGCTCAGACAGTGTATTCCAGTGCAGTAATACACTGAAATAATTTGTTTGCCCTCAAGTTAGTGACAGACAAGATTTCTATGATTAATTATTAAAAATAGCTTTATTCTTTTTCAGACTTCTAGACAGATTTTACTAGATTACCGCTTGGCTTATTTAAAAGCTGAGCTGGTGCATTTTGTCTCGATTAAATACCTTGTAAACACTGGATTTATTACCCAATGATGGATTTATTATTCAGTGACGACTTTCTCTAAATTAATGAAAATATGTGAATAATGCACAAATTGAAGAGATCAAGAAGGCCATGTGCTTTAAAGAGCAGCCCAGTATTAGTCCAACAAGAGGCTCAATGCTTTCCTACCCTTGCCAATCAGGCTGCTTAAAAATAATCTTTTCCAGTGAATTTCAGCTGTCGTTGTCTTTTCAAATGCAGCTTTTCTCTGAAGTCAAAATTCTCCGAACGAGTCCTTCTTTTTAGAAAGAAAATCCAATATTAAAAACGAAACAAACTTCTTACACTTCAGCTATTACTTTATTTTACTGTTTCAAAACAAAACAGCACAGCAGAGCTCCAAGTTTCCTATTTACTTAATTTTTCCAAGCACTACAAAGAGGAAAACATCTTTTTAAGAAGTTTGCTCTGACACCAAGTGTAAACCAACAGACTGTCTTTAAGTCATGGTTTTCCAGGTGAAACCTTGTCCTGTGCTATCACATAAACCAGTCACAAACCGTGCTGTGACACCTGGAAGTGGCACATCTTGGACATAACGTGATGCACAACACACCCTGCCCGGGGATGGCTCTGGAGCAAGCTGGGGGATGATTATCCGTACAATATACATAAAAAAAAGAATAATTTTACAAAGACAAAGCTCGTCCACGAGCGAATCTCATTTTGCATTACTGACCACACACAACCGAATGGAAGAGCAACTTGAAATAACCCCTTTGCCTGCGTTACCATAAAAATAACCCGATCCCAAACACCGGCTCAAACGGTGGGATGGAACTTTGCCTGCCTGTTCCGTTACTTAAAAATTGGGTTTTAAATATAAAATAGCAATTAGGGTGATGTACCAGTGATACAGAGGCGAATGCAATCTCTGCCAGCAGACAGACAGTGTATCAATTTCCATGCAACTCTTATTTTTCCACCGCCAGGCAGCCACATCACGCAACAACGCTAAAGGAACAAAAAGCCAAATTAATTTAAAAATCCACAAAAACTCAGCACTACCCCAGAAGGATGAAATTCAGTGCCTGTGCAGTGCTGACCTAAACCCTGCTCTGTACTGACAGGGATCTGTGGAGACAACAAAGTGCCTTTATGTCCACGGTGGGTGCGATGTGGCCAAACGTGGATGTTTAAGCGTCGGAGGAGCTCGGCTATCCCTTCCCTTACGCCAGCCAAGTGCAACTCTCTCTTCATTCTCCTTTATCCTGATCTTCCCAGGTCTTCCCTGAGCAGCAGATGAGCAGACAGTGTCTGCTGGCACCGTGACATTTGGGGACAGCACCGGGTCGGACGCCCCGGGCTATCCGTGGTGTTCTGCCCCTCGAACCCCCCGGTTTCAGGGTTCCCCTCCCCGGCTCCTGCACAGACAGAGCCAGAGCGGTGACACACAATTCCCTTCCTCGCACTTCGGCCGTTTTCCCTTACAAATCCTCCTGTTACCAAGCGCAGCTTAATCCTTTTCACCGCGAAATGAAACAACTCAGCAATCCGTGGGCTAAAAAAACCCAACAAACCACAGAGAAAAAAAAAAAAAAAGACCTAAAGAGTATTTTTTCCCTCACCAAGGAATGCGCTGCCATTCAAGGGGATGTACGACTAAAATATTTCCTGTGCAGACGGCGCAGCCTGACTCACTGCTGGCACGGCGCGGCACTTGCACCGGCCCCGCACCTGCCCGCGGAGCCAGCGCGGCCCCTCCGTGTCTCCCATCCCGGCCGGGGGTGCCCGGGAGAGACAGCTGCTCCCTCCATCCCTCCCTCCATCCCTGGGGGTCCCGCACGGAGCCCCCCGCCCGCCCCCGCGTTACCTGCGCTCCGGCGGCTCCGCGGGGCTGCCGGCCCGCGGCTCATGGCGGTGCGGGAGGGGCGGGCGGTGTGCGGGCACTCGCGATCCCAGCGCGGCTCTCTCAGCGTCCCGCGGCCAAACCCCAACTAATCCTCCGCGGGGGGCGAACTCCGGGGGCCGGGCGGGCGGGCATCCTTCCCGGGCCGCCGACCCCTTCCCCGCTCCCGCAAGATGGATCCCGGGAGCAGCGGGGCGTGCGGGGCTGTGCGGGGAGCGCGGCGGGCGCGGAGCGGGAGCGCTTAATGGAGCAGCAGCAGGACAAAGAAAACCATGTGCGGCGGCGGCCGGGGCAGCGGCGGCACCTCCGGGTGCGGGGCGGTGCGGGGCGGTGCGGCCGCGGCGCCTCCTCCCTCCCTCCGCGGGTCCAGCGCGTCCCTTCCTTCCTTCGGGCGGCTTTTTGGCTTTTTCTTCCGCTGCCTTTTTTTTTCTTTTTCTTTTTTTTTTTTTTTTTTAGGGGAGGGGGTGATTGTTTTTTGTTTTGGTTAAAAAGTCATGCCCGTCCTCTCTCTCTCTCTCCCGAGCCGAAGCGAGCTCCCTCCGGGCGCCGTCCCTCTCCCGGCGCGGCCGCGCTCAGGTGAATTCCATCGGGGAGACCCAGCGGCCCCGGCTCCTCCGGAACAGCCTCGCAAGCCTGTAATCCCCGCGGGGGCGGCCGCTCCGCCGGGCCGGGATGGGGACGCGGTGCCCCCGGACCCCTCTCGGCCGAGCCCACGCTCGCTCCGCACTGCGCGGCGCTCCCGGAGCCGCTTCCCAGCGCCGCTTCCCAGCGCCCGCCGGCTCCGCCTTCTCCCGCCGCCCCGCCCCGCGCTCCGACGGGTCCCCGCGGCGGGGGCGGCCCGGCCCGGGGCGGGGGAGGCTCCGCGGGAGCCGCGATCCCCGTCCGCGGCTCTGCCGGCCCGGAGGAGCCGCCGGGAGATGCGCGGATGCTCCTCGGGGGGTGCGAAGGGACCCGCGGTGGATGCGGGGCCGGACGGTCCCCGCTGCCCCCGGGATGGAGGCACACACGCACGCACACGAGCATCAGTGGCTAAAGCTCCGCGGGAGCAAACACTATCGAAAACACCGTATTGCATTTAGCAATTTTTTGTTTGTTTCTTTTTAAAGGGAAATTTAAATTTTTTATTATTATTATTTTAACTGGGAAAAACGCGACGTCCCCGGCTGCAGGCAGGGCAGCCTGGTGGGGACCCCAGGCTGCTCTCTGAGCTGTGGTGCCTCCCCGAGCGTCCCCCTGCAGAGACTCGCCTGGCTGCTCCCAGCACCGAACACTATTGTGGATGGGCAGTGGATTTCCTACTCACTGTAGGTTGTCCTTAAGCACAGCACAACATTGGTAAGAGCCACCACGGAGCATAAACACACAGATACACGATGGTATGGATGATTATTCACTGGAGCACAGCAGTCAGAGCCAAATGGTGTTTCTTGGGAAGACAGAGGCGTTGGCACAGTAGCCACATATGGGGAGATGCTTCCTGGGAAAGGGGTAAGTGCAAAGAGAGGGCTTGTGGGCTCATGAGGCCTTGCCCAGAGGGTGTTCTCAAGGTTTCAAATCTTGAAGTGGGTTTCAAACCAATATTGGGCTAGAAGTGCTAATGGAATTAAGCTCCT